TTTTGGCAGTGCTAAGGATCGAACCCAGGGCCTTGCAGATGCTGAGCATATGCACTGACCTGCTCCTTAGCCATCTACACTGTATCAGCTTGTCACTTTATTCCTACATCATACAGTACACTGAGACCGTGTAGCACCTTGGCACTACTTCGGTTTTATTTTTTCCTCTTTTTTGGTAGGAGACTATGGTTTCTTGAGTGACCCATAGGCTTGGGTATTTGACTATTTGGTTCCAAGTTGGTGGTGGTGTTTGGAGTGGTTTAGGTGGTGCGGCCTTGGTGGGAAAAGTATGTCATGGGGGTCAGGCATTGAGATTATGTAGTCCCGCCCTCCTTCCAATATGACCTCTCTTTGAAGATGTGCTCCTAGTCCCCGTTGCTGTTGTCATGTCTGCTGCTTGCTGCTATGCCTCCCCAGCATGGTGGGCTGGTATCCCTCTGGAACGATAAGTCAAAAGATACGCTCTCTCCCTTAAGTTGTGTTTGCTCACGGCATTTGTCTCGATGACAGAAAAGTGACTGACTTGAAGAGGGCATAGAAGCTCCCTGTGTGACACAGGCAGGCCTCAAAAGTTTCTTGCTCCCTCCTCAGCCTTCTGAGCCCTGGCATGGCAGGTGTGTGTCACCACGGGCAACTACTTTCCTAAACTCTTAGCTGACCTCCCAGTGCTCATCTCGTTGCATGTAATTTATTTCCTTTTCTTCTGCCAAACCTAAACTGGGGAGACTTTTGATTGCGGAAATGGACGATTTAAACATTTCAGTTGCGTTGTAGATCTTCTGTAACGTGACTCTAACCAAACTTCCCCACCTTTCTCCAAGTGCGTGAAATCGTTAACCCACTGTTTATCAGGCACGTCCAGGGAACTAAAGATTGTGCCGAGCATGGCAAAACTTATCGGTGCTTTTCTGTTATCAAGTATTTACTGAGTCCTTACCGTGTACCTGGTATTACAAAGTCCTCTTTCAGTTTATCCTTGAATTGAGTCTGTGTTCCCATGGATATTTAACGCCATCTGTAAACCTGAGGATTTCCTTTGCACTCGCTCAAATTCAAGAGAGCCCTATTGATGCATTGATATGATATGCGTTATTGAATACATTTCACGTTTTCTTCTGTATGCATATGTGTACATGTGTGTGGGGGTGTGTGCCATGGTTCATGTGTGGAGACCGTGGGACAACTTGCAGGAGTCAGTTTTGTCCTCCCACCATGTGAGTCAGGCTTATTGGCATATGTCTTTACCCACCAAGTCACCCTGCTGGCCCCAGGGCACTTATTTTGGATAAGTTTTGTGCTAGGTGCTGGTGCAGGAGACATTTATGATCTTAGAAAATGAATATGCTAATGTATCAGGAGAGCTAGGATAGAGATTTGCCCAGGGGATTCAGAGCCCTTAGGAAGAAGAGCCCCTAACTCAGTTTGGTGACTTTTGGGACCTTTAATCTGAGCTTTTCCAGCCAAGTAGAAGTTAATTTTGGAAAGAAGGGGGTGTAGGCCATTCAAGCAGGAGGAACGCATGGGAACACATAGGAGACACACACGAAACACTCATGGAACTACAAGGTGGAATATTTTTTTGTTTCAGAATATCTGGAGTAAAATCTATCAGGGAAGCACAGGCTATAACAGTGAAGAAACAGCCTGGAGCCACAGTGCTCCAAAGATGTCCCCATGTTGAGGGACCAAAACTAAAGTGGGGGCACTGGAAGGATCTGGAGCAAGGGTGTGACCTACACAAGCAGAGTGGAACTTCAGAAAGTGCTGTCTCATAGGAGTGTGGGGGAATGATTGACAGGGATGAAGGCAGAAGGGCAAACTTTTCCAACAGAGGGTCAGATAACAAATACCTTAGGCTTTGCGGGCCCCCAAGCCTTTTTCAAAGTTACCCAACTCTGACCTTGTTACAGAAAAACAGCCATAAACCTTAGGCAAACAAAGACACTTTTTCCACTGCTCCACTATGGAGGGACATGGAAATCTTGATTACTGCTGCTGTCACATCACAGAATACTCACTTGGGGCTTTTTAAAATTAGCATTTAAAAATGTCAGAACTGTTCTTAGCTTCCAGTCATAAAAGCAGACGACAGGTTTCTTTTGGGTCCCAGGCTGTCATCTGATCTTTGCTAATACCCCACACTAAGGGATATGATCACAGAAAGGATAGAAATGCTTTTGAGATGCTTATCTCTCCAGCAAGAGGAGAAATGGTGGTGCAATCGTTAATGGGGAAGCTTGAAGGATGATACCTGGGCCTGTTGACAGAGTAGCAGGGGACAGAAAAGGAGTCACCGGACGAGGTGGGGGTGGAGGGTGGCTTAGAGTGGCTTCTGGCAGAAAGGAAGTGAAGGGATGAGCTGGATGAGGGAATAGGTTTCTAAAGGAGGAGGAGACACCTTTTACGGGAAGCTGAAGGGGAGGAAGGATGGAAAGACATGGATGTGATAGTTCATCAATTGGAGGGTAGGAGCTTCCCAGAATGCTTTGCGTTTCTCAGTGAAAACAAGCAAGGCTGAATTCTGAGTTGTCTGACTGATTACTGGAGTCCCTCAAGGGTGGTGGAAGGGCTGAGAGGAAGCCAGAAAAGCCTATAAACCAGACGCACAAGTATGGTGGATGTGTAGGAGTGACCAGGAAGTGGTTAGGTGGCGAAAACAAGGAAAGAGAAGGTGACAGCTTCCCATGAAGGGTGGAGGAGTCAGGTGAAGAGTAAGGAGGAAGCAGAGCATCAGCTCCCTTAGGCTACATGATACATGGTGTGATGGTGCAGGCATGACACACATGTTGTCATATAGGACAGGAAGGTTGTGAGGAAGTGAACCACCTCCACTTGAAACTGATTCAGGGCAAGGAAATGGAGGGGACCACGAGAACTGTCCCTTGCAGGGGGAGGTGGGGGGGGGAGCTGGGAAAGTACTGCACAGAACACGCTGACCTGACGTGGACTCGCACTGGCAGGGGTGGCAGTAATGAAGAGAAATGGAGCTGGGAATGAGAGGTGGGAACAGTGTGTGTGCATGTGTGCGTTATGTGTGTGTGTGTGTGTGTGTGTGAGAGAGAGAGAGAGAGAGAGAGAGAGAGAGAGAGGCACATTCTAAGGGAAGCCTAAGTCCATGGCTTTGACTGTTGGCTGAGTTGGCGCTGTGTAGTCTCTCCTGGAGCTGGGCTCTCTAGAGGCTACAGATGGGCAGGGTATTGAGTTGCTGGTGCCATGGAAACTGGTGGTGGTCCGGGGCTGGAAGAGGTTTGTTCACTGTGGTCAAGCAAACAAACCTGTGGCTCCTCCGTTCTTAAGATCCAGACGCTCATCAGAAAGTGGTTTTGTGGACAGGCAGAATCACCTTGGGGTGAGTGGATTTGCTCAAAGGAGGTCTGGCCTTTCAGGTGTTCAGGGACATCCAGCCAGTGCTGCAGAGAGCACAGCGGCTCCTGGCCTGGGTTTCTTGCCCATGTAACAGGCCTAGCCTGGTGTGAACAGGGAAGTGCGATTGGACTGGAGTCAGTGGGAAGGACGAGTCCTGAGGTGTCTTGGGAAGACAGGCCGCCCCAGCTACTAATAGGGATGGGCAGTTACTGCTGGGAAAATTCCTGGCCTGTCAACCAGAACCACCATTCTAGAGTTGGTTTTCTCTATCTGAAGTCTCACTATCCTCACAGAGCTTAATTTGTTAGTGACAAGGAGAAAAGCTTTCAGGATGGGACTTTTTACACAAAATGGCCGGGCTGGGATTGATAGTAATAGTAGTGATCTCTGAAAGCTTTGAGGAAGGAGACATATTCATAAGGGGAAGAATTAGCTCCTTTACAGGAGAGACTCAGTGTATACTCCACAGGTAGAGGCCTGAATGCTTGCTGACAGGCCAGGGCTTGAGACTTGTAGTGGTTTTATGTAGAAGTGAAAGTCTAGAGCTCAAAACCCCCTAAGGAGTGCGCCTGCAAGTATGGAGACTTTTTGGAGAGGTTCCCAAACACAGCTCAGCTATGGAGGTGAACTATGAAAATCTTGCCTTGTGAGTCCAGGGGACTACACAGAAATTTCTCTGGGGCAGTTGTGTGTGTGTGTGTGGGGGGTGGCAGGTAGGGAGTCAAAGAACTGGTGACACTTGCCTTCAAATGGCAATCTAAAAGAACAACAGGAGAGGGAAATAGCCTCTACCACCAGAGATTTCTCCCCAGAGGGAGGGAGGTGCTTCTGGGAGGAGGGAAACCTGAGCACAACTTGGTTGACTATCCTTTTGAAAGGCTGATGAAGCTCTGTATTCATTTCTGACACAGGAGATGACATATATCAAGCTTTGACTGCTAAAGAAAACTCAATAATATGATCCATGCCTTTGTGTGAGTTCTTTTATGAACTCTTACCGTGTTTTCCCCACAATAATGACAGAATAAGGGGATTCCGATTAAATTACAGAGCTGGAGATTGAGGCCACTCCCAAGGGGACAACTTCTTATCCTGTTAAGAGACGCTGGGGGACAATATCCAGATGGGTTATGAAGATGGATTCCTGTCCCCTTCCCAGCTGTCAGAATAGAATCAAAGTAAAGAGCGCACAATCGGCATCTGATTACACTGGGTCCATGTTTCTTCCGTAGTGTTTTCTACGTGGGTTAAATTTGGACAGATCTCGAGCTCTAGGTGTGCCCTTAGGTGGTCAAAGCAGCAAAGGAATGGGGACGCGCAGGCAGGAGCTGTGGCGGTCCCTTTAAGAGTGGAGGCAGCGCGGGGCGGTGCCTGCACCTCCTGCTCAGCTGCAGCCCCGCCCCTTTCCCCGTGAGCCCTCGGGGAGTGGTCCCACCGCGGGCGGCTGCGGGTGAGGAGTGGGGCGGGCGTGGGGGGTGGGGGGTGGGGGGGGGGAAGACATGGCTGTGCCTTGGCACAGCTGGCGGCTGGCGCCTGTTCGCCATGGCGTCTGCCGGCCCAGGGCGCGTCCGCTTATGCGGACCCTCTGGTTGCTCTTCGCAGTGAGCCTCTTTGGCTGGACCGGTGCTTCAGACGGCTCCCGGGGAATGACAAGAGCCATGGACGAGGAGATCGTGTCCGAGAAGCAGGCGGAGGAGAGCCACCGGCAGGACAGCGCCAACCTGCTCATCTTCATCCTGCTACTCACCCTCACCATTCTGACGATCTGGCTCTTCAAGCACCGCCGGGCCCGCTTCCTGCATGAAACTGGCCTTGCTATGATTTACGGTAAGTGTCTTGGACCCCTGTCCCCTTACTGGTACTATCCCTTTCTCTGCCTGCCGACTGCTTCTCCTCCTGTCCTAGTCCTGCTCGGCCTACATTATGCTCCCCTTCTCATTTCATTTTCCGCCTCGTCTTAAACCGTCCTGGGTTTCTCTGGCTCATCCCCTCCCCCTTTATTTCTGCTACGCCCCCCGTTTTTCCTACCTCGTTCTCAGCCTCGCCTCCCCATTTTCTCTGGCTCTCCTTGCTGTTTTTGCCTCCGACCCCACCCCCTTTTTCCTCTGCACCCCTCTGCCTACCAAGCTAGGCACCAGTAAGGGTGGGTGTTGAAGATGGGAAAGGGAGTCGGGTGCGGTGGCTAGGATGGGGCTTGGGGCAGAAGGAGGGGAAGACATCCTTGTAGTCTGTCTCTAGGGTGTCAGTTTGTTTAAGGTTCATTGAAGCTGCTGTAGTAGCTGTACTGGCAGCATCTGGCATTCATTTGGAACCAGAGGCGACCTTTACTCATTGCCCAGCTTTTGCTATGCCTCCTTTCCAGATGCAGACCTTACTCCAGTGGAACCCACGCAAAATCAAAACCTGAAGTACGCCACAGAAGGCTCAGGACATTTTAAATGTCGTCCTAATTTATTATATTCTACCTGTGATACCTGATGGGGAGACCTAGGGTTGATCATTAGGAGTCAGGCTTATGAAACTGAGGACAAGTGAGAGTTAAGGTTCCTCAAGCAGCATCCTACATACGATATGATGAGAACAGTTCAGCCAAATAGTAATTAAGAATCTTCACGGTTATGTATAGGGGTGACTTGCCGTTAGCATGAGGTTATTGACCAATTGCTGTGTAAATGATTTTGGTTCTTGAGTCTCAGTGTGCGTTCTTTTGAGGTTATTTTTCTGTGCGTGGTGGGGCACATGATACACACGCGCGCATGCACACACGCACACACACATACGGGGGGGGGGGGCAAGAAAGGAAAATCAAGCCATGGGCTTAGAAGCATTTTGAGCAATGCTCTAACCTTGCGAGGGGGGAAAGAAGATACTGCTGATGGTCTCATATCTGCCTAGGAGGGTATGGCTGAAGAGATGAGGGCAGACAAACAGTCCTGTCTGTGCAGTAATGTGTGAAGATTATCTTCATTTGGTAGAGTCTTGAATTATAGAGGGTTGTTTCTAAAGATAGGTATATGAAGGTTTGGCACTAAAAGGTATTTTTCCATGCAGCTCCCACCCCCTTCCAGTAAATCCAGACTTCTAGGTTGTGCATGCATCTCAAGGGTAGCAAGAAAAGGTAGTTGTCTGCCTTGAAAATGCATGGGCTCAGGCTTGGTTTTCGTTAGTAAGGTAATAAATTCTAAGCATGAGGAGTATTCTTGTTTACTATGATGTCAAAAATGTATTTCTTTTTCTTTTCTTTCTTTTTCTTTTTTTTTTTCCTTTTGGTTTCTCAAGACAGGGTTTTTCTGTGTAACAGCCGTAGCTGTCCTGGAACTTGCTTTGTAGACCAGACTGGCCTCAAACTCACAGAGCTCTGCATGTCTCTGCCTCCTGAGTGCTGGGATTAGAGGCTTACACCACCACCACCCAGCCAAAACATTGTATTTCATTTGTAATGCCTCTTAAGGCTAATTGGTCATACAAGTTGTACATTTTACCTGATTTCTCTGGGTGACAATGTGTGTGACTCGTCTACTATCTTCAACAAACATTTACTAATTAGTTTATTATTATATAGTATGTACAGAATCTGTAGACTTGTAGGATCTTTAAGGAATGTAAAGACAAATCATAAAAGGTATATAATGACATTTGAACTTTGGGTAAATGAAAAATGAGCCACATAGTATTACAATAATCACAGATAATCTCTTTCCTATTGAGAGAGATGTTTTTACTTGACAGTTGATGGTACAAGACTTAAGACCGGGGATTGGCATTTTTAAAAGGGCTAGATAATAAAGATCATTGATTTTAAGGGTCATTCATAGTACATTTTAATTTCTGTTTTTTCTCTTTGCAAAATTAAAAAAATGCAAAAAAGGGGGAGGAGGCCAGAGAAAGAAGGATCACTGGGCAAGAGAGTACTGGCTGCTCTTGCAGAGGACCCTGGTTTGATTCCCAGCCCCCACAAGGTGGCTCGCAGCCATCTGTAACACCAGTTCTAGGGGATTCGATACATATTTCCGGACTGTGGGTAGTGCATACATGTACTACACTAACATACATGTAGGCAAAGCGTGCATACACATAAAGTATAAATAATTATATATTTTTTTTATTTATTATGTATACAATATTCTGTCTGTGTGTATGTCTGCAGGCCAGAAGAGGACACCAGACCTCATTACAGATGGTTGTGAGCCACCATGTGGTTGCTGGGAATTGAACTCAGGACCTTTGGAAGAGCAGGCAGTGCTCTTAACCACTGAGCCATCTCTCCAGCCCCTAAATAATTATATTTTAACATTTAAATCTTTAGGTTTTTAAAAATAAATGAAAAAAAGCGTCTTCTCGGCTCTTGGGCCATGGGAAAACAGACTGAGTTCTGAAGCTGCATTTACCTCTTCTATAGCTCTTGCACCATCATAGCTGTTGTGTTACTGTGTATCTGTAGTTCCATTTCTAGGTGAAAAGAGAATTTCTGTACATCTAAGCTTCAGCTGGATGGCGATCTAGTTGTGATATCAGTTTCACTATGTAACTACTTTCAGAAAAATGTTGTTTGTGTTTTTGATTGACTGATAGAGGTGGTTCTTGCTATGTAGCCTAGGCTGGTCTTACACCCATGGCAGTCTCGCATCTGCCTCCTTAGTGTCAAGATGACAGGCTTACATCACTATGCCTACCTCTTTTATCTTTGTAAGAAGCAAGGGTAAAAAGCTTAAACCACAGCTGGGTGTGGTGATCACTAAACTCAGGAAACAGGCAAGAGTATAGCAAGTTGGAGCCCTTCTGGAATGCAGAGGGAGACCCTATCTTAAAACAGCCAAACGGAAAGTAGATTTAAGTCAATTATGTAGTCAGTTTCTAGACTATAATTTAGATATTTAATAATTGCTCTAGTAGCTGGGCGGTGGTGGTGTGGGTCTTTAATCCTAGCACTCAGGAGGCAGCAGACCTCTGTGGGTTCAAGGCCAACCTGATCTATGAGAGCTAGTTCCAGCTACAGCGAAACCCTGTCTTAAAAACGGCTAGGCGGTGGTACACACCTTTAATCACAGCACGGGGGGGGGGGGGGGGGGGCAGACCTCTGTGGGTTCAAGGTCAACCTGAGCTATAAGCTAGTCTCAACTCACAGAGATCCGCCTGCCTCTGCCTTCCAAGTGCTGGGATTAAAGGCCTGTGCCACCACCGCCCGCCACCACTGCCCAGCTTTCGAAAACAGATTCTTAGCCGTGCGATGGTGCACACCTTTAATCCCAGCACTCAGGAGGCAGAGGCAGGTGGATCTCTATGAGTTTGAGGCCAGCCTGGTCTACAGAGTGAGTGCCAGGATAATCAGGGCTACATGGAGAAGACCTGTCTCAAAAACCAAACAAACAAAAACAAGAAAACAACAAAACGCCTCAGGCTCCTCTGTGTGTGCACATGGAGGTGCGTCATGAAAAACAGAGCTCAACATTGGGTGGCTTCCTCAGTCACTGTTCACCTTAGTTCTTGAGACAGGACTTCTCACCGAACCCAGAGTTTATGCATTCGTCTAGAATAACCGGCCAGCAAACCCCTATGAATCTTCCTGTTTCCATGTTGGTAGCACCAGGATTACAGAAGCACTCTGCTGTAACTCTGTTTTTTTTTTTTTTTTTGGTTTTTCGAGACAGGGTTTCTCTGTGGTTTTGGAGCCTGTCCTGGAACTAGCTCTTGTAGACCAGGCTGGTCTCGAACTCACAGAGATCCGCCTGCCTTATGTGGGTTCTTGGGATCCCAACTCAGATTCCCGTGCTTACAGGGCAAGCACATTGCCAACTGAGCCTTTTCCCCATCCCCTGCAAAAACAGCATCGATGCTCCCACGTGTTTTGTTCACTGGGCTAGTTTTCTTAGGAAGCTCTAGAGTGAGTCACTGTTAGTAGACATTGTTGAGCTAGTTAATTAAGTCTGAAAAGTGATCACTCACTGTGTGTGCTTACAAATAAGAAGCAAATGACAGTAAAATATTTGTTTCGCCTTAGGGAATCTTATTTGGTTAAGTCGTACGATTAACTATTGCTCTATCGGTAAACCTTTCTTCAATGTCTGTGATGGGTGGCATATGATGAAAAAGGTAGATAGGTGCCACATTCCCTGCCCTCAAAGTAGTACAATCTAGTGACTAAATAGGTAGTGTTTATTGCACATTACAGTGTGTGAGACTGTATTATTCACGTTTAAGTAGCATCTCATTTAAACCTCATAGCAACTCTGTCATATGGGTACTATTATCTTTCTCATTTTACAGTAGACGAAATTAGGCCTCAGAGAGGGGAAATGATCTGCTTGATAGCATTTGTTGAGTCAGGATTAAAAAAGTCTATCTGGTTTAACAGCCCCCTCCCTTTTTAAGCCAGTAAATCACAATGAATGTCAGTAAAAGTTTTGACTTTCTTTGCTGTCTTGAAATGCTTGCAGTCATTGTCACAGAATTAACAATGTTCTCTTAAAAGATTTTATTTTTTATTATATGAGTGTTTTGTCTGCATATGTGTCTGTGTAGCACATGCATGCATTGCCCTCAGAGGCTAAAGATCGTATCAGATCCCCTGGAGCTGGAGTTCCGCATGGTTGTGAGCCTCCACGTGGCTGCTAGGAATCAATCCTGGGCTCTCTGCCTGAGAAGCAGCGCTCTTAAACCACGCAGCCACCTCTCCAGCCTTCTCTAGCAGCAGTTTTGAAACAAGTTATTCAGTTTCTTTTTTTTCTTTTTTTGGTTTTTCCAGACAGGGTTTCTCTGTGGTTTTGGAGCCTGTCCTGGAACTAGCTCTTGTAGACCAGGCTGGCCTCGAACTCACAGAGATCCTCCTG